AACATCTATAAATGAAAGTGAAATTATTGAAAATTGTAAAAAAAAAAAAAATGAAAAACACCAACTCATGTGGATTTAATTCTATTAGCTCTGTCATTTGAAAAAGAATTATCAATGCACATTTCAAATCAGTGACACATATTTTTAATCAATCCTTAGGTACTGGAATAGTTCCAGATAAAGATAAAGCTCAAAACCTTGAATATATTCGATTTATACCAGTATCATACAGCAGTGCTAGGGTTCCTTTATTTTCATAATCTTCTTCCAAATACTATTTCGAACATGTTCCCTACGAATCATAGTATTCAAAATTATAACACAAGAAATCAAACCAATTTTCATCGTTTAAAAAATTATCTTTATGTATGAAGAAAAATCTCCTCGGTGTTATCTCCCGTTGATTTGGAATTCATTACCAAAATATATTCCCCTTTGCAATAACCAAAGAGTATTCACAAAATATCTGAAAATGTATTATTTGTCCAAATGCTGACATGAAACATAACCATATCTTAGATTGTGCTGTTCCTATACCTTTTTTTTCATAGTTTTTTTTTAAAATTTATTCTTTGTTTTTAATTTGTTTACATGTCTTTCAGTAACAGAATACGTTGAAAAACCAAATGATAATTTACACTGTTATGGAAGTTTTGGCCCTTTGGCCTTTTTTTAGTTACCCTCTTCTCATTTTCGACTGGTTAATTTCGTGTCTTTATGCATATAATTGTTTGTATAATGTATAACATTGTAATGATCTATTGTTTTTATATGAAGATGGAAATAAATGAACAAATTAAATGAAATTGAACGGAGTGACGAAGAAACAACGCAAATATAATAATAACGCAATAACATGTTGTTCGTTAAACAAAAGTACTGATTGTTGTTTTATATTAAAAAGATTTCCAGCCTCCGTCCATATAACACGTACAAGTAAAAAAAAACATATTGGATGATTTCGCCAGCTTCACCTTAAATTGGAATTTTGACCGCAATCCTGCCTTTTGATCAATTTGAAATTTGTTTCTGTTACCAAAACCAATCTAGAAAACAAATAATTCTGATTTTGAAATTGATTTCTATGGTTTTCGCAATAGAAAAATTATGAAAAAAGATATTTGGGTCGAGGAAGGAATAACTGTTTTCACATCAGATGAGCTTAATCACTCTAAGAGAATGTGCAAATATTAAGATGAAATGTCAAAGTACAATCTCGATTGTTATATGAACCTTTCATCGACCCCTTAATTCACCCAAATTATATTAACATATGATTGAGACTTCAGGCACACAAACAACTAGTATTAGTAAAGAAGCATACATTTCGGGTGATTTTAATAACATTAAGCTTAACAGACAATGTATCCGATAAAACATTACCCCTAAAAAGGCCAGGCTAGTTAAGGTCTTAGTACGGCCGGGGGGGGGGGGGGGGGGGCATTATCCCCCCTTAAGATCTCGGCCGTGAAGCGGCCGATCTCCGCGAAAATATGCACGCTTGTCAAGTGAAGTGTATATAATAATATGATAATTTCAATTTTTTTTGAAAATCACTAATTTGCATATTTATGGTAATTCATGCAAATAAAGTCATAAAATCACATGTTTGCCCATGAATCATATATTATTCATATTTGAGCATTCTTTTTCACTACATATCCTTATTAGACCAATTGAAATAAAAATTTAAAAAAAGAGACACACAAAATCGAAAGAGCTAGCTTATTTTTTATGTTATCTCTTGTTTTTTATAATTTCTTATGTATTTCCTTGTTTTTTAACTTATGTATTTTATTGTTTTATTTCATTTTTTTTTTGGGGGGGGGGGGGGTGAGGGGGATGTAAGTCCAATAGGTGGGTATGAGACGATAACAACATAAATGAATAATAATCATGTTATTTTGTAAAGGAAGCCTTAATTAAACAAATAGACAGGAAAACTATTTCAAACCCTCTTAAAGGTGCATAAGATTGCGACAACAGCAGACATTTCAGCAACACATACTAATAAAACTTAAAAGTGACACAAAATAAGATATAGGGAAAGCCATTTAAAATGCAATTAGTCAAAGTTTGTTGGGAATGGAATCTTGAGAAATATGCAAAAGCTTTGTAAATCAGCAGACCTTCTTCCGAAATAGACGGCTTCAATGATCGAATGGCGCGAAAGATGGCGGAACCTTCAAGCAAATATTCGCTTTTGGTTTTACCAATCCTTACTTTCATTAAATCGTAACTGGTATTGCAAGTAAATTTCAAGCATAAGTTCCATTCCTATCTCTTCTCTGTGATGACATCAACACATAAATGGCTACGATCAACATTGGTTTAACAAAAATGAAATAATGTTTCTTGATTGAAACTGTGTCAAAAAAACCCGGCAAAAACCATTGAATCTCTTGAGACAACTGATAACAAGGGTCATGCGGCCCGAGAACAAATCCGAAAACAGACGCCAAATAAAACAGAAAAACAACAAAAACAACAAAAAATTACCTTTTAAAATGGATCGACGTACGCTTTATCCTAAACTGTATCGAGGATACCCCCGAAGAGTGGACAGGTAGACATGTACTTCACAATCATGCAAAGATTATGTTTCATACGTTTCATACGTTTTATTTTACTGATAACAAGTGGTTTATTTATATAACGAATTTTTGTTCTAAGAAAATAAAATGCCAATATTTCAGGAGTTTATACCAATTACTGCAACCCAATATTGATAGCAAGATTTATTAAAAACAGACCTTTGGTTCGCAAAAGAAACACATTTTGTTGTTTATAAACATGTTCTAACGTCGACAAGAATGAGTCTACCTTTAACCTAACGTTTGTATAGTTATTTGTTTCACGTCATGTTTCCTAAGACCTATCACATTGAAGAGTCAAACGCCTCACCTGGTTTGTGGCATCCGATACATGCTTGGTATCTCTCTGACACTGAATAAGACGAGCAGCTGTTGTTGCGTAACAATCTGTAAATACAGCTTGTCCGTTGTGTCATACTAGTCGTGCTGCCATAGTCATATACATCCCACCAATATTTGATATCACCAAAGTTGAAGATATGTCGATCATTACTATAGGATAGATCAATTAACAAATCATACAGTAGAGCCCAACTGCCATCCGCAAGTTCGACCTGTACCTCGTCTTCATATAAATCAGATTAGAGGATGAGACGAATACTTAATAAGACAAACCCTGGCCAGTAACTGTGAGTAACAGTATCCGAACTGTGAGAATGATGCTCTTACATACTGCTCTGTAGTTTCGCTGACACAGCTACCGACAGACAGAGATAGATTTTGTTTAAGGTTTCATGAATTGTAATAAAGTGACAAAGTAGAGACTGTTCCTGCAAACTTCACTCAAGTGAATTAAGCTAATTGCCGACTTCTGACAACCAAACAAAGCTGCACTCATCCCAATAACTAATAGTTGGCGATCAATTGAGGATAATACAGATACCCCTTATTCAGTCACATTGGAGTTAGTTTGGAGGCACAAACCATGGTCAGTCGTTGTCAGTAACATTAGTAATATTCAATGTGAGACTATGTAAATAGCAAACTGCACTGTACTTAAACTGACACAGTTAGAGACAGACGGTGCTAGGTTTTGTTAAAATGTACTATGTCCTATTTGAAGGCCAACAAATATGAAAAGGTTAAATTCCAACGGCATTTAAAAGATAATACTAATTTAGAACTTCCCTAAAAAAAGTGGGATTGAAAATTAAGTGGAAAAATAACGACTATTATTTGTCAAATCGACGTAAGTGCTACCAAGTTAGTAAGTAATAGTCTGATTGTCAGACCATTGTACCGAATGGTCATACGCTTTGTGCTGCACAACGATTCCGTCAGTTTAATTTTGGCCATTACAAGAAGTGGGTTATTGATGTAGACAAATGCTCATGTAGGCCTACTCTTTACGACTCATTTCATGTATGTTATTACCAAAGTAGAAAAAAAGTCAATCAGTCTCTCAATAGTGTCAGACAGTGAAATCTAGCAAGTAAACGGGTTTCCTTGCATAATTTGAATATTAGGAGACTGCTTACGTTTAAATTTCACAAATAGGAAATACATTAAACATTCATAATTCCTGCAAAATTCTACAGAATTCCATATTGGCTGCATAGTATCTTTAAGGCTTCATGAATTTTAATAACGTGAACTGCAAACTACACTAGAGTTAACTTAGGCGTAAGCCTTGAAGGGGCTGTAGAATGACGAGACTATGCGCCTTTTCCGAGGTCCCCGTTTTACACTTCTTTAAAAGCGGAATACATGGATTGCACAGAAGCAGATTGTTATAAATTGAGCATAAGGGGTATTTTCTTGGCCAACCTTCGCGTAAGCGACATTCAATCACAAACATTTTGCGTATTGCGCAAGTAAAAGAGACAATGGACTGACCTACATCTTTCGGATTTAGCTGGTCAGAAATAATTTTAGAGAACAAGTGGAGTCGTACACAAACAGCTGAAACGGAAAATAAGAACCATATTCTGAAAGTTCTTACCTTTTAAAAATATAAATCTGACTCAAAGAGCCCCCTCCCTCTTACCCGAAAAAGTCCCGTACCGCATTGTCAAAATAACTTAGATGCCTTTTCATATTGGCGTGATATTGTTTTTGCTTAAATCTGACCAAACTTTAGACACACTTGATAAAAAATGATGGTGCAAACATGGATCACTACAGGAATAAAAAAAAATATATCATTGTCAATTTGAAATAAAATATGAGTGCGCCGAAATAAAGATCCCCACTATACTTTCATGACTTTGGGAAACATCATCGTCACAAAACGTAAACAGCCAAACAGGTTTCTGGCAGAAACCGTACGAAGGTATATAATTTATAGTTTTGAGTCTATGTTGCCATTACCCAACGCTAAAATGGAGTTTTGTTGGTACATGTATAGTTATTTGGTTCACGTCATGTTTCGTAAGTTCTATCAACATGAAGAGTCAAACGCCTCACCTGGTTTGTGGCATCCGATAAATGATTGGTATCTCTCTGACACTGAAGCAAACGAGCAGCTTTTGTTGCGTAACGATCTGTAAATACAGCTTTTCACTTGTGTCATACTAGTCGCGCTGACACGGTCAAAACTTTCACACCAATATTTGATCTAACCAGAGTTGAAAGTATGTTGATAAATACTATTTTTTAAACCAATTATTGAAATCATACATTCGAGCCCAACTGCCATCCGCTAGTTTGACCTGTACCTCGCCTTCATATAATTCAGATCCGAGGATGAGACGAATACTCAAAACTCTGGCACACCATAGTTAGTTTACAAGCACAAACCCTTTTAAGTCGATGTGAGTAGCAGTATCTGAGCTATGAGAATTGTGCAAATAACATACTGCTCTGTCGTTAAGCTAATACAGCTACAGACAGAGGGAGATATTCTTTGTTTAAGGCTCCATAAATTATAATAAAGTGACAAATTAGACACTGTGCCTGCAAAGTACACTCAAGTGAATTAAGCCGTGTCACTTTCAGCTCATTGCCGACGTCTGACAACCAAATAAAGCTACACTCATCGCAACAATTAATTATGGGCGATCAATTACTGATCGGTGGAAAGGCATTTGTCGATTGGTTGGGTAAAGTTGTACAAAAATTGTCTGATCATCAGAGGTTTTCGTTAACTAATTTGCGACCACTGTACGATATATTGTTAAATGGTAGGTATTTTTTTCTTCAGAAATTGATCGGAGATCATAGATAACTGGTCGGACATCAATGGCCGATGTTTAACAACGGCAGGCAAGATGTACAGTTGGGAAAGGAGTATCATCACTAGTTCAAACAAGCTAGGATTCTCGCCCATCATTAGTAAATGTATTTGTTCAGATGAGGTGTGAGTTTATATATATATATATATATATATATATATATATATATTATGTATGTGCTTTACTCTTTTTTTTTTGACAGTTCTTTAAAAGACGAATAAATGGGTTGCATTGAAGCGGGTTATTTTGGATTGATCATAACAATGATATCAATTCTTATGAAAAAACAGATGGGTTAAGGTTAAATGCTAGTGCATTAAGCTGTAAATTTGATAGCAAAGCTGCGAGTAGATGACATACAGAAGGCAGTAGGTAATGTAAAATGAAACGAAAGGGTCGGCGACTGGTAATTCCAAGTTTACTGATAGGCTGATGGACTGGAAAATATTTTGTTTCCCCTGATATCTGATCCATTGGCGACATGTTGCTAAAATCAATTTAGATTTATCATTATTGATTTACCAATAGAAGCCATTGGGACATTGGGACCAGACGGTAACCAGTATTGTATTTCAGTCGGAGTGACATCCGGTCTCTATTGGCGTCTTTTTTCCTACACCTATTGACGGTTGCAACTTTTTCCGCTTGTGTGATCCCCACTATAGTGTAGCTTAGACTTTTCTGTAATATTTCGTTTGATATAATATCACGGTTACTCAATGGAAAAGAGTCTTCTAATTTTGAGCTGTATTTAGTGCATTCAAAATCACAGTTTTGATACGGAAAAGAGTAGTTGGAATAGGCAAGGCATAACCCGGCTGATGATAGGGGCTCCACATAATAGGATACTTTGAAATCTAAATTCTTATATAAGCTACGTAAGTTTGAAAGCCCATGTAATATGCAACAACAAAAAATATAAGGGATTGTTTGAAGTTAGGAGTTTCTGGTAGATTTGATTTGAAATAAAAAGAGAAATTGATTAGAATAATGCATTTATGATGTTTATCCCTAAAATATCTCTAAACAAGCATAATGATCTAGATGTCTTCTTTAAGTACCTTATATTCTAAGAAATAATGGTAATGATTTGCACGCTTAGTGGTGTAGACCTTAGATAAAATAGCATCACCCTACAGGGTGCAATTGTGCACCCTAAAGAGGGGTGCAGATTTGCGCCCTTAGTATGCGGACATGTGTTACAATAGCAGCGCCCCATCGAGGTGCAATTTTACACCCTAATTTGGGGTGCAAACTTGCCCATATAGGGAGCAGAAGTGCACTATATCGTCAACCTAGGCAAGCCATCATATAAACTAATCAAAGCGATTGGGAAAGAGGTCACAACCAATTAGACTTTGATAATTCTCTGCTTTTCCTCGTTTTTTTAAAGGCAACAATAGGAAGGATTAATTACTGGGATACGAACCCACTACTCTAGGATTATCGTACGCAGACCTCACTGATTGAGCCAACCATGGGTTGGTTGATGAAAGAAGGGTTTGCATGATTATGTTAATCTTAATCCGAACCCTAACCCTAATCCTAATCATAATCCTAACCCTAACGCCTACCCACCTAGAAAACAATCCACTCCACCCACCCACTCTTCGAACAACAGCCAGTGGGCAAGCGGCTCAAATCCAGACACAGCTTTCTGCACTCTGTAGAGCCTCTTAATACTAGCCCTCACAACCAAAGGATGACTTTGTGGTCTAACCACCTTCAGACCACTCCACATAAACTCTCCCTCAGCCCGAAGGAATCCCTCGCAACCGGCTCCAGTGAGACTTGGCCTACCTGGCTTATGCCTAGGTCACATATAAACCGGGCCCCGTACGATTTTCCCTACCCGGCTGCATGCCGTGGATTAAGAGACCGTACGGGAACCTTCCGATTTTCTTTTCTACGGCATGTGTGGTCACATATTCTGCGGCGCCCGGGAGGTGCCCGGTGAAAATTGGTCGAGTGAAATGCAAGGCGCCCGTAAGGATGCCGGCCGGTAAGCTTACGTGCTCCGTCCGATGAGCAGGTGCACCCGTGGCTCCCGGAAGGTGCCCTGCCGGGACCCGGCCGGGGTCCTCAAGGTGCCCTGCCGGGAACCGGCCGGGGTCCTTAAGGCGCCCGGCCGGGTCCCGTGCGGTGCACTGAACTATGTGTCCTCTGAAATCCGCACCTCAAGGTTCCCGTAAAGATTTTTCATGAGAATTGACCCCCAAAAATCGTGAGGGGCCCGTCCGGACACCGTCCGGAGCCCGCCGGGACCCGTAAGGTGCCCTGCGGGCCCTTCACGGGCTCTCTACGACCTAACGGTCGGATAAAAACGCCGGGAGAATTGGGAGCAGCCGACTCAGCACCACGGCGCCCGTACGGCTTCAACAACTGTCCCGGCGCCCGTAGGATCTTTACGGTAGCCGGCCGGACACCGGCCGAAAATTCCCAAAATGTCTGTTTTTACTCGCCGTACGGGCCCCGGAGTGTATATGTGAAAGCCCCATTAGCCTCAACCGCCTAAGAACTGGCTACGATCGATGCAGAGTCCTAATGCAAAGGTGGGGTCTAGGAGAAGAACAAACGGCATGTGAATGCGGCCAGGAACAGACAATGGAACACCTGCTAGTCTGCCCACTCCTGCCAGAGCCATGCACCCAAGATGACCTGGAAGCCGTGAATTGCCGTGCCAAAGCCTGTGTGGACCACTGGACGGGACTCGTGTAGTGACTCGATAAGAAGAAGAAGAACATCTACCCTAACACCAACTTTAACCCCAACTCTAACCCTAACACAGATCTCTAACTAAATTATATTCCATACCCTAAGGCCTAACGTCTAATCTACAATAAACTTGATCCAGCTCGTCTACGTAAAGAAAAGATGCAGTTCGTTTATCGAGAATCTGTATAGAGGATGTACTGTTTTAAAGATCTATTTATCTATAGATTAATTTAATGGGTTTTAAATGATATTGAGCTGATTGCTTTTTCTAAAAAAAAGGCCCTAAATCAAAACAAAAATTGAAATCAATTAAAAAAAAAAAACACGTTTAATTTAGCTTGAAATATCTACACAAACGTTAGGTCATATTCAACTTAACATTATTATCTATTTATCTCCAGACCTTAATAACCCTAAAGGTGCAAATTTATAACGCTTGTTAGATACTGCATCCTAAAAGGAGTAGATCAGCACCCTCTGCCAAATACGCGTAGTTGGGTGAAAATCCTCACGCTAATTACATCCTTATTTCTTAGTTGTATAGGTGTACATATATCTCACGGACTTTAATACCGATGTGGGTTTTATTGTTATCGACACCAAGTTAATTTTAGACGCATTTGCGGTTCTAAAATATAATAATAGTGTATAATAAGGGAGTTGGAATGAATGGAAATCCCGTGCAAGAGGCCCCTAAGTAATCATCCGTGGCACCGCGCGTCCTTTCTTCCCTACAGTTATCCCATCCCCCTCCGAGATCACATAGCACCCTGTTAGCACTAAGTTCTCCCTTTCCATCCACAGCCCAGCCCAGCGAGAAAGGCGGCTTAAGCTTTGCCGGCCCGTGCTCGGGGTGAAAAGTGGTGTTGAATTGACACTTCTAACCCTCATCCAACACATGCACAAACATATGACACAATTACATTTAGTTCTCTCGGGAGATAAACCATTGAACTATTACAAAAACTCTGAAATTTTGGAAAAATGTTAATAATTTAATGAGAACCTTACATTCGCTCTTATCCACGATTTCCTTCGTCGATTCGCTGGTTCAAATGGCTATGTCTCCAGTAGAGTTATCCAAACACGAGACAAGGATTTGATAACCAATAGAAAGTTGTGTAGGTAAAATGTTGTTGATTCTGTTTTTTATATTTTATAGCTATACACATCTTCACTGAACAATGGCACCGCAACAATGACGTAATGTGACGTCATGTTCAGTGAACATGACGTCATTGTTGCGGTGCCACGAATGACTTGAAAGCTCGATGGCTCCATACCTTTACAACCGAGTGAAAAGAGAACTTAGGGAAGAGGATTGGTACACTTTTGGTGTCGTCGTGGAGTGGTTTAATCACTTGACTGAAAGTTAAATGGTCACAAGTACGAGTCCCAATACAGCATTTGTTTATGTCCTTAACCAAGACTTTTTAGCTGCATTGCCCCTTTTTGGCGAAGTGCTTAATACTTGCCCGGTAGAATGCACACGTCAATGCGGTTGGATTAGCATGTGTGCGCTTGTTGAATAGGTGACTAGC